AGCCGCATGCATACCAGCAAAATGTAACCTTCAAAGCTTTCTAAATTTTTGATTGCTATTTCTTAGTAGAAGCCCTCATATCTATCGAAATAAAACTCGCGTTCAACTAGTATTCATATAAATTCATAGAATCATATGTTCCACTTTTTTTGCTCCTAAATTTGTTATTCACATCACTATTTTCGGCGATCTAATATCACTGATTGGAAAAATTTACTACGCTTATTTCTATCAATATAGATTAACTTTAATCTTATAATTGCTTCATCTTTCTCTAGTTCTAAGAATTAGAAAATGAATCAATTGAACTGAGGTTAAAGTTAACCAACATTGATGAAAACAGGCATAACTGATTCTTTCCAGTGAGATCTCATTAAATGCAGTGGTATACTTTTAACTATAACTATTTATATATCTTCATTTCTCTCTCTCTCTCTCTCTCTCTCTCTCTCTCTCTTCAGTGATAAGATATTGATTTCATTTAAGAGAATGTTTTCATTTTGATATTGCTAAAAATTTAAATCGAATTAAGAATGGAATTTTTGCAAATTTGCACAATATTTTAATAAATTGAAATCTTTTTTACAATTAAAATAATTTGAAATAATTGATATCACTTTAATGATCATGAATTGCTTTTAATCAACACGAGAATCGACCATATTACTTTAACCTTATTTATTTATAATGGAAATGTATATATGATAATATATTAAAGATTGGAAGAGTAATTTAAGGAAAACTTGTCTCTCTTTCGAAATGTGACATCTACGATTATATCTCAATAAATGCCACTCTCTTATTATTGAACGTATCTATATATCTTTATCCTAAATCTCTTGTAAAAATCCATCTATATATATATATATCAAACATCATAACTGGATTGAACAAATTAAAAACAATTGTCAAATATGGGGATTGTGATAAATATTATCTAAGTAGGATATCGATTAGATATCGTTAACACGTAAACCTATTCATCTTGTGTTCGATGTCGTTATTTTTATAGGAATGAATTTAATTTGATTTAACAAATAAGATGTCTCTCTTTCCGTAAAATATTGAAGAAAGATGCTAATTCAATTTTTTCTAACGGAGTACAGATGCTAAGAATAGGAAATGCGGATTCTGTACTTATTACATTTATGAATTTTACGTACACAACCTTGTTCGGTTGTCAAAATAATGATTAAAAAAATAAGTCGGGAATTAGTTACAATAAATTCATGAAAAGCCATAGATGGCTACAGATTATATTTGTTAACTAGTTTTGATTTCTTTTTACATCTTGTTTCTTTTTATATCTTGTTTTCACACGATATAACAAAACTGTAGCTCATATAGCGTACACGAGAGAAGCAATGCAAGCTAAAACCGGCTAGTTGAAACCAGTTACACATATGTATGATATTTCTTCAGAGTCTTTTAATATATAGGGTAACGTCAAAAATATCCTTTCCGCGATTTTTTATATTAATGGATCTTTATTCTCCATTAATTACGCACGAGTATTGAACACGGAAAATATGTATGTATCATACAGTGTATGTATCAAAATACCATTAAAATTGACTGCAGTACGAATTATTGAATACGAAATGTATTTCGTGCATCATAGGAATACATATTAAATTGCTAACATATTGAGCAACAGTATTGCTGATTAAACTTGCGATGGAGTCACGGTTGTTTCCAATTTACAAAATATGCGTACGTTGATAATATATTATAATTTACGTCATTCTATGAATGAAAAAAAAAACACGCATCGTACATTGAAGTAACGGTTTTGAATATTCATCCAAGCGAGTATTCGCCGTTTCTCAATTTAGAAATCTTAAACATCTTCCAGCATGTAAAAAATGCTTTATAAAAAATGAAATTGCTGTACTTGGAGCTGCTTCTAACATTTCTCAGCCGATGTAGATCTCGATTTTCTCGTACATTAATATTAATATATTTACGATAGACATTAATATTAATGTGCACGCAGACTGTTTTTTTACTACTAGGTGATCTAACACTGTTCGGAAAAAAGATTTTTTTCGAACACTGGAATAAGACTAGTCATGTTTTATAATTTTTGAAAATGCTAAAAATAAGAATGCGTTTTCCATATTGCTCCATCATGCTGCGATTTTGAAAAATTTGCAATTTAATTATCTACAAACTGTTATTTTTATGTATTTTATCATGTTATAACGATGTATGACGTATTGGAGAAATTAAATCATAATATAATCAAAATTAAGTATATTGCTATTAAATATGTCGACTTTTGGTCCCCAAGAGAATTTTTTAGTGTCGGCTAATAAAAGATTCATAGTTAAATATTTATTATAAAGAAACTATATAATATTAAGTCATTGATAATTTAATGGGATAGCTTTTGACTATATTTATTTAAACTTAAAAGTTTGTTAGGCCGTTGTATATAAGTCAATATCAAAATTAATAAATTCAAAATAGTGAGTTCAATATAGCGGATGTCAAAATTTGAAAAATCCGGATTGTTATAAAATGTCAGATGTCTTTCATAATTTGGAATTTATCAATTTTGACATCAGATTCTTATACAGAGAAGAGCCTAAAAAAACCTTTATAATATATTTAACTAAATATAATTAAAAACTATTTGGTAAATCGTCAATAATCTAATTCACTTTTTCGCAATCGTCCCTAAACCATTGAATATCTTATTAAGCCGACATTATCAAATTTTTTTGAGGATTAAAAATAACATGCTTAATTTTAATAGCAATAAAACTCTTCATAGTAATAATATGATAAAATCATCGTAGTATGTAATAATACGATAAAATATACAAAAGTTGCCCTTTTTGCAAGTTTAAGCATAAATTTCTCAAAATTATGACGTGACAGAACTACATTTGGCAGCTTTGTATACAGCGTAAAAAAAACTGACTAGTTTTGTTTTATTTTTGTTTTTATCGATTAGTGTAATCACACACCTCGCAAATGCTCTCCGAGTAGTTCTCGAACGTAGAGATCGTCCATTTGACATATTCATTAATAATTAATTTCCACGCTCGTTTCTTCATAAGTTTAAGATAAAACATTATTCCCCCACCGATTGTTTAGCCGTTCCCCACTTGCGCAAACATTATGTGGCTACCATCGCGAAATGCTATTACCTTCAAAGAGACAGTACTTGCTGCCTTTGCGAGTTGGAAGCAAGCAGGTGCACGTAAGGTCCGGCGATGATGGTGGTGGTGGCAGCGGTGGTGGCAGCGGCAATTCATTAATTCGCTTATCAGCGATCGTCCGTGTGGACGAGCAAAAAGTGTAGCATGCGGCTCGTGGTTCACGCGCGCGAAATCGGGTTTTACGACGTTTAGAAGGCCGCACGCTCGTATTCGTGACAGACGTCGGGCTTGAGCGCTCCGATTTAAGGTAATAGAATATGTAAATACCGTCCAGAAGGATATGCGCGTGGAAAACGTTTTCTCGCTCCAAGACTGTAATAAAAGCGAAAATCGTCGCTTTTGTAAATCCTTTCCCGAAACGCGAGTGCACACGATATGCGAAGAAAAGAAAAAAACAATTATATGTAAATCTATAGTCATCGATTATCAGCTAGATATACACTAAAGTATATGTATTTTGCATATGAATATGTCGAAATGCTAATACATTGTGATAACTGTACATGCGCATGTTAGAAAATTGACCTCTAGAAGTACAAGACACGGGATTGAGTATATTATCTGACCTTTGATAATTTTCACGATGATTATTGTTATGCTTATTAATAATTTTGATAATGTTCACGATGATTATTGTTATGCTTATTAATACTTCCACAACAAATAAAGTATCAAATACTTTTAAAAACGTAATGAGATTACACAGTAAAAAATCGTGCATCCATATCTAGAATTTTTCTTGTGTTACCACATTTTGATTATTACTTCAATGTAAAATAAACATACAACTGATATGTTGATTATTTTTGTAACATTTCGATGTGTTAGATTAGTGTCACCAACTTTAAGTTAATTTAACATCTAAGAACAATTAAAGTAAATCTTAAAATAATCAAAATGTCATATTAACATTTTCTTACGAGTTACTACAACTACTCTTCTTTGTACTCTACTTATTTTATATGTTAGTTTTAAATCACCCTTAAAGTCAAAATAACAAATATAAATGTAAAGTATTGTGTCAATTATTTAACATTACTAGTTCGCTAATAAATAACACAAGACGAATGAGTCACTTTAACTTAAAATTTAGAGTGGATCTCCTGGGACATGTTAAAATTAACATTTTCTTTTTTACTGTGTAATGATAAAGACAAGTCAGTTGATAGCAGCTATTATTATTAAGTTTCATTTTTATCTTATGCATATTCGAGTATCGTTTAAAAAACTAACTTTATAATATATTTAATTTTTAAAATGTTGAAGACTGATATACATGCTCCACAACAAAAAATAGAAAATACTCAAAACGCTCAAAATTGCACAATTTTCAAATCATCATAACTCGGTAAAAAATTATTGCATAAAAATGCTTGTCCTTTTTTATTTACAAAGTAGTTTTTTAAGTATAAAGATTTAAGATATAATCAATTTTAAAATTAAAAGGTCATGTATATCACTATAATAGTACGATAATATGCGTATAGTAGTGTTTTGTTTAGTGTCGGTGATTGCGAAATGTTCGATGTATCGATTCGACGTATCATTTCTAATACCATTCCACAACACACGAATAGATAATTTTTTAATTAATGTTAGATTAATTATATTAATATTTTATTATTTATTATATTTTAAATAACTTAAATATTTTATTATTTGTCTTATATTTAACTTATCTTATATTTAACACGATTTTATGAGAAAGAACACGGCATGTACTTTTATTACTTTATTTTTCACGAATTTTCGTGTTGAAATTTTATTATCATCAAATTTTGAGATATTCTCTCTCTCTCTCTCTCTCTCTCTGCGCGCGCGCGCGTGTGTGTAATTATAAGCAATAATTTCGATATTACATAATTGTTAATATTATTGGCTAATAAGATGCAATATCTTTGTATAAATACAGAATTGTCCCATCATTAGAGTATTCGCATCTCCTAATATTCCATTGTGATATCGTATTTAGAATTCGCGAGAAATCGCGTGACAGCTCGACTATCACGTGGGAGATCCTCCGTTCGCAAATTAAAAGAATATAAAGAGAAAAAGAATTGTAGAACTAATGGCTCATTCTGTTGTTTCATTCGTGCGCCGTGCATTCTAAAGGTAAAGTACGTAAATCTCCTCAACGTCCTCGAGATTAACTTGGACTATTTGGTTCACGGTAACTTTCTCGAGTCACCTCGCGCAAGTAATGATCAGAATATCAAAACACGCTCCATTAATTTATTAACATTGTCTAGTTTCTCGTAAACCTCGTTTTCACGGAAACAATGCCTGTCTCGTGTAAATCGCGAGAATGGATAAACTTCACTGAAGACTTTCGCGAGCGGCGTGCGTTTAATGCAACATCAGAATGGTATCGTAAAACCGAATACATGCCGGTAGTTACTCCCTTTGCGCATTTCACCGCTCGACATGGTTAAAACAGTATCTCGTGACGCAATGGGATAAACTGCACAATTGTTTCAGCTATCTGGCACAATTGGAAGATTACTTTATCTTGTTCGGCGTTCCGATTTTCTTTTCGGTTTCTCTCTTTCGAGCGCGGCAGTTTTCCGGTTTCCGGTACCGTTGGGAAATCAATAGCCACGTGCCAAACATAGAAGTTAACCGCGTGCTTGCGAGAGGTCAGCACGCAGCCTTCGGGGAAGCACTGGAATTTCTCCTGGTATTTTTCAAACATTTTACAATTATCTGTTTATTAAACACGATATTTCGCATATTTTTTGTAAAAAAATGCGGCTTTGCGAAAATATATAGCCGAAAACGCGAGACTCGTTAGTTGTTCCTCTGTGAATTTCCATATTAAAACATATGGTTAAATTACCTGATGACAGAAATCTCTGTAAAACAGAGATTTATTATGCGTGTGTTCAATATACACACGGTGTTTGCAAAAATACTTTTTTTTTTATGATAACATCCTCATGCAGGTTCACGTTATAATCGTAATCGTTTGCATACACGCAACGATTTAACGCTGTAAATCAAAAAGTCAAGAACGGATTGACGAGACTCCATACATAAGCGATTATCCAATCCGTGCTTTATCATCCAGTGTTGTACGCGTAATACTTCACATTGCGCACAGCTTTACACTTCCTTTTTCGGTTCCTCAATAATTATTACGCTCTGATAATCCTGTTTCTAATACGTCATACTTTTTGCGTTATTTGCCGCTGGGCCGCTAACTTCCAGCACCTGCAACATCGTCGTTATATGCATGCGTTGTTTATATACCGTCGGGATAGCTCCGGCTACTCGGTGGAGAAGTCGTTTCCGAGGGCAGTTCCCCTCTCTCTCTCTCTCTCTCTTTCATTCTCTCCTTTCCTCCCCCTTCTCTCTCTCTCTCTCTCTCTCTCTCTCTCTCTCTCTCTCTCTCAACTTTTTATGGGAAAAAGCTTTCTGTAGCCGCCTTCGCACGGCGAACTGATCTCGTTTCTTTATGTAATACCCGCCCAAGTCCGACGCGCGCGACTGGCATCATTTTTCATTCGCGATGTTCCCAGGAAACTTGAAACATAAAGCGCCAGGTTGAACTTTCGATCGGCCGCCGCGGCGGCGATTCCCGGCAAGTAGTATAAATTCCGAATATGATTGCAGCTTACGAAACGTAAAAGACGAAAGCATGCAGCTGTGCTGCTCAAGGAAGGACAAGGATGACTCGTTGCAGTCGGGACTGGAAAATGGTACGAACGATACCCGCACGTTGACGTAATCGTAAAATGGAAATGCAACACGATCTCTGCGTCGGAAGAATAATCTTAAATGTAAACTCAGAAAAATTCCATGTAATAAAAATGCGCTACAATAAGACGTGTACAAGAAATACAAAAATATTAGAAATGTCTTAAATATATTTTTCAATTTATAATAGTTAACAAAAAAACAAAACGAAAGCGAGCTTAGTTTATATGCTTACAATAGTATACCAAGCAATATAATATTAATTCATACATATGTATATAAAATATCGTGAAAGTTTTATTTTTTTAAACTATTATATACATTCGAAGGTATGTATTTAAGACATTTCTAATTATAAATGTACATAATTGTAGTTGTAGTTTATACAGTATTTTATTTTCAAAATTACTTCTTTCAATATAACGGAATGATTCAAATAAAGTGTATTAATTTATATAGAATTAACTAACATTTTCTCGTGAATTTTGACTTAATGCAACAATCTTACTTTTTATTGTTAAATGTCAAAGGAATTTGCACGAATTAGTGATAAATGTTGCCTGGTTTTATCTTACATAACACAGGCAAATTGTATGAAGTCTTATGCACACAGCCAGTCGTTTGAAGAGACGATTAAGATGGGCTTATATTTCCAGGATTATTCTTCCAGTTAGCGTTGTTTAAGTGTCACTGCTTAACAGTAGTATTAAATTACTAAGTATACATGTATAATAATAGACGCTAGCTTGTTAAATAGATGTTGGAGATTACGCTATAATTGTGCATCGACTCTAGATATACGATTATTCAATATTACATAACTGATTAAATGCTTAAGTATGGCGTGTAATTATTTATTTATGTTATGTGTATAGTAAGGAGGGTATAATGGAAGGTATAATTAAAAAATCTGTTTTTCGCGTCTTTTCAAGCCTTTTATGATATATAAATATGTTTTTTAGTTGATTTATTAATACTTTAAAGTTTAAAATAGTGATCTAAATGAGTTAACATAATAATATAACATGATTCTTCCTATTATGATCCCTTAATCAAAAAGGGCAGATTATGCGATCGAAAATCTTTACTTATTTGTTTTCAATAAGCCTCGTATGATAAATATATTTTTTTGTTAGTTGAATATTTCGAAATAATGTCATTTAATGACATGTGACTTTTCTTCTTAATATCTTAATCAAGAAGCACAGATCATACAACCGAGTTTTTATTCATTTTTATAGGAGATACGAAAAATCCATTAACGGGGAACGATATAGAAAAATTTGGATTTTATCAGATAGTGATGTTCACATTTCTCAGTATACCGTTGATACTATCGGCAGGATTTACGCTTTCTTACGTATTTACTGCGGGCGAGGTTAAATACAGGTATGTATATCTTTGCTAATTATTTAAACTTTCACGTATGTATATGCAGTTCAAATATACATAAATAAACGTATTTGCAAAACACGATGTCGGATTTTAACAAATTTAAAACATACAAATGTACCGTTTTAAATTTGTTAAAACACAATGTTGGACTTTAAATTGTGTGGGAAAATTAAGGAAAAGCAATTAAAGAAAAGCAATTGTTTAAATGCAGGTGTTTAGTGCCGGAATGCGAGCATTCAGGAAACACGACGTTTGAACCGCCGTGGGTCAATGCTTCAGCACCGAAAATTGACGGGGTCATTTCCGGTTGCGCACGTTACGCGGTGCGAGATGATCCGGGAATATGCACGGAAACATCATTCACCAACGTCAGTCGCGATTGCGATTCTTGGATTTACGATCCGGATGAGCATACGATACTGAACGAGGTAATGTGGCCCTCAGTAATCAGCGCGTATTTTTCGCTCGTCGAGATTTAGATCCGACAGATTAATTTCCTTTTTCCTTTTCCTTCGCTTATTTTGACGCAGTGGGGCTTTACCTGCGACACTAATCGATGGAAACTCACAATGGTGGGCACAATGCAGAATATCGGTCAATTCGTCGGCTTGATGTTCGCTGGATACATATCTGACAGGTGAGGGATCAGCGCAATATCCTCCGGGCTTTAATTAATTAACTACGTACAAAATATTGCGCAACATTCATCGTGGACGTCGGCGAGGTCGTTTTCATTTTATTTATATCTTCATGTTGCCAAGAAAAAAAATATTATATAATTACATTAAAAACATAATTCTCTAAATTTCATTATATCATATGACGGCTAATTTAATTAGCTATTACGTAATAATATTTAGGATTTTATGCATATTAAATTAGCTATTCGTATGACGTTGTAACTTGTAAAGAACGACATATATATGCATAACATTATACATGATAAATTCAAGTCGCGCTATTTTTCCTCTAATTCTAGAAGGTCTAAAAATACATTATTTTTCTACATTTTTCCTTGTGAGTTAGATATAATCGTTCATACAGATAATCAGCTGTATTGTAAACTTCTTTTGTTATGCGTTTTTTTGCATAGCCAGCAATCAATCATGATTGATTGCGAGATTAAATTCTTATAGTTAAAAGGATATGTTTAATTTTACATAATGTAAGGTAGTACAAATAGTCTGTAACAATGTTTCTATAATTCTTCGATTTCACAGATTCTGGATAAGAAAGCATGGCGTATCGCGAGGAATTTCGCATTGCGGCATGGCAGAAATGCGCTTTGCTGGGACAATGTGCACATCCACGTTCATTCTTTTATTTCCAGGTATGGGAGACGAACCTTTTTGACGGTGGCGACGTCTCTGTCTGGAGTCAGTGGCTTGATACATTCCTTCTCCGTGAATTATTGGATGTTTCTCGCATTCGAATTCCTCGATGCCAGCATGGCGGCTGGAATTTACAGCGCGGGATTTATTTTAGGTGCGTTATTAACGGGACAATAAATATGCTCGGGGAGAGCAAAAAATATATGCGACACCTGTAAGCGTTATGTCGTTCCTGCCCTATAACGAGTGTTCGCGGGCGGCGAAGCAAATTCTCGATGCAATGCTCTTTACTCGCGTTTGGAATGCAAATACGCGACACGCATAACGTAGATATTTTCGAGTTATTTATTCTGGATTTACCACGTGTTTATTTAGTCGTTTATTAAAATTGTAGTTGTAGTTTTATGCGACATGCATTTAGATTCCTATGAAAATATATTCTGTGACAAAACATTCTCGGGAAATATAATACTAACAAGTCATATGAAAGATAATGAGTTTTCACTCAAAAATTGTTCGAGGTTATACTTGCGGAAAATGAAAAGATAGAAAAAAATATTGCATTTTTCTTAATGTATGTGCTGAACGACTTGAAAATACCTACGTTTTTTCTTCAAATCAGCGATTAATATTTCGATAATATTTATCGCTATTTATGAGATTTTTTATTAAATCATCGATTAAATTTATCGATTGTAGATTATATCAAGAAATTCAGAATTTTTTAAAATCTTGAATATCGCAGAATTTTTAAATCACCGACGCACTTGTGTCGATCGCACGAATATATTTTTCTACGTCCACTGTCATATTAGTTATTACCGATAAATTGCATATTATATAAGAATCACGTATTATAAGATATGTATAATTAATTCCACGTTTCTCTTTACACAATAATGTCCTTTCAACATAACTAACGCGTGACTACGTTCGCTAATAATTTATACACTTGTTCGCTCTCAGGGTTGGAGACGGCGGGAAAGAAAAACAGAGTCTTTGGAAGTACTATAATCTGCTGCATGTTCGCCATGGGTGAGATTTTGCTAGGATTGATCGCAAGTTGGCTAAGATCTTGGCGAACGCTTCTTAGGGTAATATACGCGCCGGGACTGTTAGCCGTCTTCCTGCCTCTGCTCATTCCAGAATCAATTAGGTAATTCTTTTTAATCTTAGTCAACACTCGTATATCGGTGAGACTTTTTCAATCGATTAGCAAAATTTGAAATCGTCGAACATTGTATATCTACAATTTACTGAAGTACGTGCATGATTGATTCTCCTTCATGGATGTCGGGAATTTAATTAAAAATGACATAATTCATTGTATTAAAATGAATAAAAGATTGAAAGATTTATAGCTAGAATAATTTATTATCTTAACTATTATTTTATCTGCAACTTTTTATAGTAAACAAATTAAAAAATGGAATTTATTAAGGAATCTTTAAAGACGGTAAAATTTTTTAAATTGTTTTATCTGCGAAGTATATGTACATAATGCCAAGATTGATAAAGATTAATGTTTTTTTTTTTTTAAGAATAAAACACATCGTGCTTCTTCTTAAATATGTTTTTAATGCTTTAAACAGTACTATAAAAAAATATTTAAAACATATTAAAAACATCAATTAAGCATATTTTAAACTATTTAAAACACGTTTGAAATATGTTTTTTATCAACCCTATATAACGCCATTTTTAAGGTGGCTGCTGACAAAGGATAAACATAAGAAAGTGGAAAAAATATACCGTAAAATGGCCCGGATGAACGGTCTGCCAGTAACGGACGAGGCCATCAATATGTTTAAAGAAATAAATGTAGATAAGGAGGAAACGGTATGTCACTTATCTCTTTTTTTCGCCTTTCAAAAACACACGTTTAATTATAGCACTGAAAAAGTTTTATCTGCAAGTCTACTATTTTCTAACATACAGCTATCGTGCGTAATTTTCAGTACAGTCAGTAACTTTTGTATTATTCCGTAAACATCAACGTAAAACGATGACTGGCGTATGATCCTTATGGCTTCATGGTCATCTTGTGATTGATACGATCTTTCAGAAAAGCAAGCTGGTGATATCGAACGAAAGGAAACCGATCGTGCAAGTTCTACATAGTTCAGTGATACTCATTCGACTGCTGATTTGCTCGTTCTGCTGGCTCACGAACACGTTCGTTTATTACGGATTGTCGTTGAATTCCGTGGCGTTCGCTGGAGATAAGTACATCAATTTCGTGCTCGTCGCGGCGGTCGAGATACCGGCGTATTGCCTCGCTTGGGTGCTGACCGATCACATTGGCCGTAAACCAACGCTCTCCGGCTCATTCCTGCTGAGCGGAGCGTTCTGCCTTGCAATCCAGTTCATACCGGCAGGTAAAGAGATAAAAAAATAGAGTTCCTCAGACAAGGATGGATCCTCGTTTCGTGGGTCGCGTTATGAAAAGCCGTTGAATCGCGTTTACGTCAGAGAAATTTTTGCGAGAAAAGAATTTCGGAAATATTTTTTGAAACATTAATGTCAACGATGTGCACCTCTCTGTGCCACATATTCCTTTCATCGTCGAGCTATTTAAGTGTTTATCCCATTCATTTTTTAACGCAAGAAAATAGATGTAACACGAAAATGAGGAAAAAGTCCTTTCGAAACTATTCACTATTTCTTTCATGTTCGTTAATGCTATACATTCTCGTATTATACCATGAATGAATACATAAATGAATACGTAAATAGACCGGTATTCCTAGTCAGTTCTTATATTCAAGATCGCTTAAGCACAGTCTTGAGATATCAGACCAATTACAGAATTAGCGTTTTAAGATGTTACTTAAGACTGCCTTGAAATAAGAATAGACTATGAATACTGATCTTAGTGTCACGTTTCAAAGAACTTCGTTGACACTTTTATCACATTTTTATTCCCCTTTCTTGTTTCTACGATTACGTTTTATCGACAGGAGGAAGGAAAGGCGCGAATTTGAAGCTGTTATTTAAAAAAACTGCGAGATCTTTTTCGCTCTATTTTTTTCCTCTTCTCCGTACTCGCACGTGTCCTTGCTGGAATCACAAAGTTTAATCGCAAGAGCGCGTACGAGCGCACGGCGAGGAGCTATAATCGCGCGAAAATATAAGCTGTAAATGTGTGATACGCC